TCTATTTTTATACCATGTTTAATTTCTTCGTTATCTCAAAGATTATATTTATTTACAATACCTTGTAAGTATGGTATATAATTTATTGAAATTTCTTTTGTTTTTTTCAAAATAGTTTTAATGAGTATGTTATTTTTAAATTAATACGTGTATATGCACGATAAAAACAAATAAATTGTTTTTTAATATTTTTTATATTAATTAAACATATATCAACATTTATATTTTCAATTAAATTCTACATGTAAACACATTTTAAGTATAAATGTATCATAAATTTATTATTTTTAATTATATGATAGTTTTGTTATATCTAATTGTTTATTTACATTTTTATGTTGTTTTGACTTTTAAAACTAAAAACAATTGAAATGTTTCAACAATTAACTTTTATAAATCAACTATGTAATGTTGATATACTTTCTAAATTGTATGTTTTAGTAATATATTAAGATTGTTTGATAAAATTTAATTGTTACTTCATAAGTCATTTAATTGTTATTTATGTTAATAGTTGTTAAGTAAATTTCTAAATATAACTATAATTACACGAGTATTAATGTTATTAATAAACATGTGTTGTTGTATTCATTTGTATTGATGTTGAATATATTTGTACAAGTCAAAATGCCAAGAAAAAACACTGAAATAACAGACGATTGTCTATATTGATATCACAGACGACTTAATATACAACAAAAAACAACTAGTTTAGTTGTATTTGTTGTTTGAAAGTTTTTTAATTGGTTTTTTGATTTAATTACAATGTTGTTATAATTATTATTATAATATTTGATATGTTTTATATGTGTCCAGTGGATCGGTTACATCCAGTCACATGTCTTAAAGTTTATCTACTTAATTTTAATATTGAACGACTATTATACATGTTTTTATTAAAAGTGTAGATACTTTAAAAATAATAAAAATGAAATTGTTTAACATCCCAAATACTTTTTCAGATTTTCTTTGTACTTTAGAATATCTTTTGTTTCTTCTGTCTGTTTTTTGGTCAAATTAACAACAATTTGTTCTGGGTCTTGATGTCCGTCTTTGTCTAGTACAACCAATTTGATTTTTCCAAATTCATCAACTTGGATTTTGAAAGTGATTTCATCCCAAAATTCAAATTTCAATGTAGTGTTAAAAACTCCAATCAAATCTGTGTCTTCTAAAAGAATGACAGTAACAGTTGGTGTGATTGTTGGGACACTAAAAGTAACATCTTTTACTGGAAGTGGTGTTCCCTTATCAATTATTGTGACCAATACATGTTTTATACTACGTTCTCGAATGTTAAGCTGACATAATACTGTATTCACGTCTCTTGCAGTGATTTGTGTGATATGATTTTTGACTGTTTGTGAAGCCATGTCTCGTGCATACAAACAGGCTCCTTTAGCAATAACCAAATTACCGTCTTCACAATCCAACAATTGTCGATTTGGAAAAACTCTTCTCAGCATTTCTTTCACTTTGGGTATTTGAGAACTTCCACCAATTAAAATGACACTTTTTATTGTTGAAGCTTGTACTTTACCCTTTTCAAGTGTTTTGTTTATTGTTTCTTCGCACCTCTGAAAAACTGACAAACAACACTCTTCCAAAATATCCCGAGTAATTATTATTGAAAATTCACTGCCGAATTTGATGAATTCTAGTGAAACGTTTTCTTTGACAGACAACTCGATCTTTGCATTTTCAATCAAATTCTTGAGTGATTGCCTTCGTGATACTTTCTTCTTTTGTATTGTCGTGCTATCACCATTTTGCACTTTAAATAAGTTGTTTATCTCATTTTCATTGTATTCCTTCCACTCATTAATAACAAAATATAAAAGTGCGTTATCGATGTCAATACCACCAAGGTTTTTGTCGCCGTGAATACCACAGAATTTAATATGACCGCCATTCTTCTCGCCAACAACAGTGTCTAAAGTTCCTCCTCCAAAGTCAAAGAAAAAGGTCATTCCGTTTGGTATATTTTTGAGTGAATAATTATATGCAGCTGCTGTGGGTTCTGATATTAATCCAATGACATCAAGGTCCGCTATTTTTGCTGCTTCTTCGGTTAAATCCCTTTGTTTTTGATCAAAAAAGACGGGGTGTGTCACAACAACTTTCATCGACTGTCTTTGAGGGTCATAATTCACACTTTCTTCAATTTGCTTTTTAACGTGACTTAATATGATTGCAGAGATTTCAACAGGACGGACTGGTGTTGGGCGACCTTGGAATGTTGTGTTAAAATAACAAAAACCGTCGGCATCTTTTAAAA